CTGAGCCACCCAGGCGCCCCAAGAAAAGACTTTTGATCACAAAGACCCACACCACTTTTCCATCCCACTCCCCACCCCACTGGCAATGAATAAAACTTTGGCTAATAAAATGTTTTCTGCAATGTATAGAGGATTCAGTGGCTCTGTTAAGTACCCCTGATTGGGAATGTCTTGCTCAAGAACATTAATAGGGAAGTTTTTTGAAGTTGAAGCAATCACTTTGAAGTAAACCATCCTTTCAAATTTAGATTGAAAAGAGGAGGGGAACAGCTTAGGCTTTTCTTTCCTTCATGTGACTCTTTCCATAGATGGCTCCCTATGAAAATTAATAAACTGACTTAGCTTTATAGGAAATGCCATTTAGAAGAACAAAAATTATGGTTAGAGAACAGATCCTGTGATCAAAATAACAGAACTATTATTTATATATACCTTAGCAACTGCAAAATTTATGTTTTTACATAAAGTGGCATTAAACAAAATTACTATTTTCTAAATCATGAGAGAAGAAGAAAGACAACCAAAAGAAAAGAACTCTGATTTGTATTTAATACTTCACATTATTAAGCATAAAAAGATCTTAGAGCCCCAGTATTGAAAATATACTAAAAACTGAAACAAAAGCACTATTCTTTAAAAGTTTTATTTGGTGCTTACCTGCTCCAATACCAAGTTGGCATTTATCAAAGATCTTGTTTATTTGAGAATATACTAATATCATGTGTCCCTTAGAATATTTCCAAAGTAAGCCAAACAATGAAAACATCTACCTTATATTTAAAAATCAAGTAATTTAAAACACTGAATAAATAAAACTCTATGAGTTTATCATTGATACGGGGAGAACACAACAGACACAACACGCATTTGCTTCTTCTGGAGGGAGGAGCACTGCTCCAGTACAGCCTGTCAATATCAGTACAAGACCAGTAGGTAATACCAACTCCTTACTCTGAAAACTGGTCGTTAAAACAGTAAGCTTTCATCCTGTCTTTTCAGGAGTGACTGGGATTCATTCATTCCTACTTGATGAGAAAAAGTCCTTCTTTACAAAAGAATGCCAGCTAATCCACGTAGAATGAGGGATATTATGAGAACAACATATGCAGTCTCCGGTGTAATAACCAATTCAGACAAGGGCAATCAGGTCATAAAACCATTATGTGAAAGACTATTGGACGACAAAGATATTCACACAGTTGCAAACTATCACCTCACTGACTACTTGCTAATAGTAAAGAGGAAAACTTACCTTTATGCTGAAGAGAGCTAGTGGTCACCACCTTAACCAAGTCATTAAACGTGACATTGCCAATAATGAGACAACCTGACATCATGTGCCTCTGAACAGAATGCCCTATAAAGTATTTGTCATTATGCATGAAACATGGTGCTGAATGATGTTTAAGAGTGAATCTAATCAAGCCTCTAGACCTAATTTACAGTTTAGTAGAATGCATAATCCTTGAACATTCCTAGATTGAAAGCAAAAGCTAAAAGGATGTCTTAGGGAAAATGGGGAAATGGTGAATATGGATCAGATTATTAGATGATATAAGAGAATTACTGTTCATTTGGTTAGCTGTGATAATGGTATTGTAATTTCATTCACACACACGCACACTTTTGTTTTAGAGTTTCCTATTTTTAAGAGTTGCACGTTGAAGTATTCAGGGATGAAGTGTCAATGTTGGAGACTTATGTTCAAACGGGTCAGCAAAAAATATAGATAAGAGGCTTTACAGACTCACAGCTATAAGATAAATAAGGTCTGAAAGTGACTATAGTTGATGACACTACTGTATAATTGAAATTTGTGAAGAGAGTAGAACTTAAATATTCTCACAAAAAAAGCTTAAAAAACCTATAATCCAATAATGATTGTAGTAATGATTACACAACTGTATATTATCTGTCAAAATTATCAAATTGTACACTTACAATTGGTGAATTTTATTTTATGTAAGCTATACCATCATAAAACAAATTAAAAATGAAATACAAAGAGCTTCAACTCCCCCCCCAAGAAGAACACTTAGAGAGAAAGCAAACTGGACAGCAACAGTAACTGCTGAATCTAGGTGGCATGAGTGTCACTCCAGTATTGCTTCAACTTCTTCATAAATCTGAATCATTGTCTAAGTTGAGAAAAAATAAGTAAAAATGACTTTAATATAAGATATAACTACATAGCAGCCAGGCTTACAGAAGTAACAAACAGACTTCTCGACCCAGATAGTCATATTTAAATAAGGTAACCAGGGTGTTTACTGCTAAAGAGCAGTTTTCAGGTGAATGGAAGGGCTCAAGGGAAACCTGAGGTAGGAGTAGGAACTGCCAACAGGAGAGCTGCTGTAGAGAGAGGGCAGGGATCAGCCCTGGAGAAAATGAAGAGAGCAACATCCCAAAGCTAGAGAATGTTGCACCTTGGTATCAGTTCAATCTTTGAGATCAGCAACTAAATTCTATTAATCTTTTCAACCTAACCCTTACCTCATGGTTTAATCTTAAAATCCTCTTTTGTACTTGAGACAAAAGTCATGCACAATGACAATTTATGTCATCAGTCCTCAGGGTCAAATATAGCCCATGGTTGTCCCCAAGTCTAAGGTCGAGTCCATACAAATTACTAGATTAATCATTTTCCTGTGAATTTGTAATGGTCAGTTGTGAAACCACCACTGGGATTTCTAAGTATGGTGACTTCAGGCATCTTAATAATGGAGCTGATTGACTACAGAATCACATCAGTCACCAGGCCATCAGCTTTTATTAACACAAGGAAAAATGAATCAATTGAAAAAAGGTCAATTCAGCTGGGCCATGTAAACACTGTTAACCGCTTTTCTGGAATTACACCCTTGTCATCAGACAAGAAAATACACATACCCTGGTTACAGTAACAGAGGGGTTCCACTATAACTGCCCTCTTACATTTAAATGCTAAAGATTCAACACATGTCTAAGCCATTGCCAAGAGGTAGAAACTGTGGCTCCAGGCTCACAACCTCATTTCAGAGATACTTCTTACTTTCAAAACTTATTCAGAGTGGGTATGGAGATAGGAAAAAGTCTAATTTTGTCTTCCAAATCTAGTCTAGCAGTATGTCTGTAAGGAAACAGAAAAACAGTGAGCCATATAATTTTACTTACTAGCTAGACAAGTTCTATCTGATCTGTGAGTCAGTTTCTTCACTTATAAAACAGGAATAACATACCTATAAAACAGGGCTGACTTACCTGCTCTGTCTGCCATAAAGGAATGATATGGTAAAATGAATACCTTGAAAACTGTTTTCAAATAAAACAAATGAATTTTAAAATATCCTTTGTCTAGATTACATTTTAATTTGTTTTAGGACTATCCATATTCTATTGTACAACGTGTAAGAGAAAAATTGGTAGAATTCTATTTTTACTACCTAGGTACCTAGTGAAAAACAGTTTAGACAAAATCATCTATCCAGAACTCTTGTCAAAAGCATCTACCTGAATCCTAGTGAAACAATTAGTCAAAAACAGATGTGGGGACTGGCATGGACTTTTCCAAAATGTCAATATAATAAAAGACAAAAAAAGAAAAAGAGGCAGTGAGTGATGCGCCCAATTTAGAAAAAAAAGGAAACAATCAAAAGACATGGTGACCAGCTACAATTTGTGATCCCTAATCGGGTCTTGGATCAAACAATAAACAAACATTAGCAAGAACACTGTAGGGACAATTGGGATAATTTGCTCTATATATTAGGTATTATTATTTTATCAACAATAAATTTCTTGAGTGTGGTAATAATATTATGGTTATGAAGGAAATGTCCTTGTTTTTAGGAGAAACATGCTGAAATATTTTAGGAAGAAACGTTATGCTGTTTGCTACTTATTTTCAAATGGTTCTGAAAAAAATCTCAAACTACATAAAGAGAAAGCAAATATGATAAAATATTAACGACAGCTGTTCATTATTCTATTCTTTCAACTCTTCTGCACATCTGAAATTTTCAAAAGGCTAAGGTGGGGAAAAGTGGACACTGCATAAACAAAACAAAACACTGGCAAGTAATGAAAAAATTATATCAATTTTCCAATAATAAAAATATACTTTCATAAACCTAATTATCTAAACCAAAATAAATTCACCGTGTTGTAACATTGAGGTTTATTATTTAAGAGCAGCACTAATCTTCCTGATACACAAAACAGATAAATTAAGTGGACTTCATTTAAAAGGTCTCACTTAAGAAATTCCTTTAAGAAAAAGCAGTATAATTTCCAAAAGCAGGATAGAAACAGACCAAATGTTATTATTGGAAAAGATCAGAGAAATTAACTCAAGTCCTTATAGATTAGCAAACTAGTATCCATATGTTTCTCAGGACATACAACTTTTTTTTTTCAAAAGATAATTTAAAGTCAAGTAGAACATGCACAGTTAACAGATGTGATGGCTCATACTTTACCATTGCCTTCAATTCAATCACTCCACAAGCAAGCAAAGTAAAACAACTAGAAACAATTAAGTACAGTCTATGGAGAGAAAACATGATATTCTGCTCTAGAAATGCCATTAAAGTACTCCAGAGTAGGAATGCCAAAAAGGGGGGGGGAGGGGGAAGCACTAGGCTTGGATAACAGATGAAGATAAATTTAAGATGATGGTATAAGTGTGTGTGTGTGTGTGCATGCATGTGTGTGTGCATGCATGTATGTATGTGTATGTGTGCTTGTGTGTGCATGTGTGTGCACACGTGTGCATGGCAGGGGGGTGGGGTGGGGAGGGATCAGGCTTTCCTGTTCTGACACAAGGCTGGACAACTGCCCATCAATCACATAAGAAATCAGGAAGTATTCTCAGGAATGTCTTTTTATGGGTTCATTTGAATATTAACTACAAAAAGCATCACTGTAATATGAACTAACGATTTATGTTTATATAATCTCTTAAATAAACTCATGAAAAATTTAAATATCATGTTAATGTGGAGTTACATTCTCTGCTTTAAAACCTATTTACTGGTATAGATTTCCAATTACTATGTTTTCTTAGGAAATTTACAGTATTTCCTTTACTGGATAAGCTCTGTAATGGAGGAAAAATAAGAAGATTAATTTATCTTTATGAACTATTTTTAACTTTTTATTTTTTGTTTTTATTTTTTTAAGATTTTACTTATTTAGTTAGAAGAGAGAGACAGAAATAGTGAGAGAGAGCATGAGGAGGAAGGAGAGAGAGAAGCACACTCGCCGCTAAGCAGGGAGCCCGACTCAGGGCTCGATTCCAGGACCCTGGGATCATGACTTGAGCTGAAGGTAGATGCTTAACCAACTGAGCCACCCAGGCACCCCTGAACTAACCTATTTTTAGCAGTCCTTCCCTTTTGTCCATAAATGGTAACAATGTGAATTGTATAGAAAAGAACAAACTTTATAAAATGTTATATCTTTATTTTCAAAATAGCATTTTATTTACCTTGTTAATGGACACTACCAAAGCTGGTTCCACTTTAGCTTCAATTTCTTCTGGAGTGTAAAAACAATAAAGTTTACCCCCTCTTAAAACACAATACAACCTTCTCCAACTAATCAGGCTTTCTTCCATTTGCTGAAAAAAAATTCAAGAAACCATCAACCTTAATCATTATTTATCATCATTAAATTCAACAAAATACTTCAATTATCAAAGTTACATTAGTTAAAAAAATTTTTAAATGTGATAGAGTTACCCATTAATTTAGTGTGCAATAAGTCAACAGTCCAAAATCAGAGTAAGTTAATATCACAGAAGAAAGGTTTGGAATTCTCAAAAGCATTAAGCAAAATGGAGGTAAAGATTACCACATAACTTTTACACACATAAAATCATAAATCAATGCAGTTTCAGAAATGCTAGTCTATTCAAAATTAGTGCTTTAAATTCCACAGCAATCCATCTAATGACTCAAAAAAATTATAAAAATAACTCAATACTCAAAATGTAATTTCCCCTTACTGTTCTCAGAACACTGGAAAATGTTGACTACCCTGTAGGAATGCAAAATTTCTTTCCTCTTAATGGAATCTTTTTTAAAAAAGTTATTGATTCATTGAAGCCCATAATTAATTATTTACTGAATATAAATAACTCTGGTTATAAATAAATTAGGAGTAGGTGGCACAGAGGCAGCCCTGGAAGCCCAGAGGCCTAAACTGTGCCAAAAGCTGTCTGCCAGAAAGGCCCTTCTATGAAAGGTGTGGAGCAGTCGTCATCCGCTTCCACAAGGAGTCCTCTGCTGCTGACTATCCGGTTCCTGCGCTTATGAAGCAGAGGAACCTGGAGAGGTAGCTCCTTAGCCATCAAAACCGCATCAGACCCCATGCTTCCCCCCTTCTCACCCCCAACCCCGTCACCCATCATTCTATGTCTAACATGGAGGAAACTGTCATTTAAAAGAAGACTTTAAAAAATACTTATTATCAGAAGGCAAAACAACTGCCAGTATATTAAGATCTAGATTGTAGCTATAATTGTAGGATATTTAAAGTCCTCCAACCTGCTGATTAAGAAATCCTGCAAATGCATCCTCAGCCATACAAGCTGGCTGGGCGACTAGGCGGCAGCACATGTTGCCATATAAGGGAAGCCAAAATGAAGACTCCTCTATTTAAACAAGATAGAAAAAAAAAAAATCAAGTTACAAACATGTTTATTTAAGGTCATTATACATTTTTATGTTTTTTCTTTTTGCAATTTTTTTTGCTTTATATAAGAACGTTCATATGTAAAGGTTCATCCTACTCATATACAAGTGCCATAGTTAATGACAAAATCAAATATGAGAAAGTAGATAGGATAAGACAATATTAAACTGTTAGTTTATAAAATCTTTCCCTAGAATAGACATAGAACTTTTAGTTTCTTGATCTCTCATTTGATCTTAAAGTATTTAATCAATGGAAGTAGTTCAGGGCATATAAAGAAACTCATCTAATATAAAAAACATCTAATAAAATGATTTTCATACATCAAATTCTACTTTTTGCTCTGATTTTCATTATAATAGCTAGCAAAGTGATCCTCTAAATAAAACACTTCAGAGCACCATTTCATGATAATACTTTAATAAGCCTTTTGGCTCTTCTTCTTCCCCTTTCCTTACTGAACATTAGGAGAAGCCCTCCAACATGGGCATCTGCGCCAGGGGTTGTGGGGGGAGTTGTGGTGCGCCAGAGCAAGGTGCTACAGCAAGGCAGGATGGGGAGGGTGAGTAGGAGAGCTGCCAGGCATGAGGTGCCAGAGCCTGAATGGGCTGGGGAAGATGGGTGACGTGGGGGAATCTTTCTTCAGGGAGTGGCCTGGCGTGGGGGGTCAAGGCCCAAGCAGAGTGAGGAGTGTCTACATGGTGTGGCTGCCCAATGCGAGGTATCAGAAGCCAAAGAGTAAGGAGAGTGCACACATTCGGCAGGTGACTCAGCCATGGGAGTCAGAGTCCGAGAGCTGTGAGGACACAATCCATACATTCAGCGACCCAGAACAGTGTGTCAGAGCCCGGTGACAAGGGCATCTGAGAACAGGTACTGGGCATGGGGTATCAGAGCACAGGCAGGCTGAGGGGGGTGTCCACATGGCGTTAAGGGAAAGGGCAGCCAGGCATGGGAACTGAAAGCCTGAGGACAGTAGGCCTATGTGGGCTGTGTAAGCCTCAGCAAGGTAAGGAGTGGCCACACGGGGCAAGGGACAGCCTAGAATGAGTGAGAGCTCCAGCAAGGAGGAGAGAGCATCCATCTGGGGGAGATCGAAAAATGGCTGCCTTTAGGAAGACTGATCAAAGAAAATGCGTTTTTAAAGGTACTAGAAGACGGTTTGTCAGAAAAAGGAGTTACAAACGTGTAGAATGAACTCTGCACTGTTGGGATTAGAACTGGATGCACTGGTGTGGACTCATGGTTTCCAACATATAGAGATTAAGAAATACAAGACCGCATATGTGCATATGTGTTGCTGTGCCCGCTGAGAGGGCCTGGGGAAAGCAGCACCGTAATGGTGGTGCTCTCATAGCAGGGAGTGTACCTAGAGCCCAGACCATGTCTTCTAAGTATTACTTCCATTAAAAAAAACTGGCATTCCTTGGAGAAATGACTGGTTCCAAGGCTGGGGCACAGAAAGTACCTGATGAGATTGAAATATCTTGTTATGCCATAAAGCAAGGAAACTACTCAATGAATGATGAGAACACTGTCAAAAAGACAACAGAACCCATCTTGAATGTGCTCCCCGTGGCCAAACTGGAGACAACCTGAACCTTAAAATAAGCAATATTAACCGATTTTGATGCACTGAATAAAATAGGAAAACATGAGTCCATATTGATATAAATAAATCAATGAGTAAATTGAAAGACTAATAAGAAATACACCTACATAGTTTCAAGACACTCCCCTCCTCCACACAAAATATGTATTAATTGCAAAGGGGAAACAAGAATAACTGTACAGTCGAGAAGGTGGGCAGACACCACACTAATCAAGTGATCAAAGTGAAAATCATTAGTAATGGGATGAATCGAAATTATATGCCATTTGACAGAATGCAATGAGAACTTAGCATCACTTCCGTGATATTTCTGCCAAAGATGCATATCCTCAATCTTATCCCAAGAAAACATCAGACAAACCCAAATTTAGGGACCTTCTACAAAATAACAGACGATGATGTTTAAAAATGTCAAGGTTATAAATGCCAAAAAAAAAAAGAACTGGTCCAGTTTGAAAGAAACTGAAAGAAGCATGATAATTAAATGCAATGCAGGATTCTGCACTGGATCCTTTTGTCATGAAAGACATTATTGGGACAATAAGCAACACTTTAATAGAGTCTGATGATTAAAGGTGGTAATGTATTAATATTCATTTCCTGACTTGGATAGTGGTAGTGATGTAGCCCATGTCCTATAGTAGGAAATACATACTAACATATTTGGGGCTAATGGAGAATCATGTAAACAACTTGCTCTCATGTATTTTCGTGGGGGGGGGGAAGATCTTGACATTTAACTTGTAATTTTTCTGTAAGTTTGCAATTGTTTAAAAAAGTTCTTTCAAAAAACATTAAGATATTCCTTTAATGTAGTGTGTAGGTGGGCATGGAGCTTTCACATTTGCACAATTCTCTGTATTAGGGTATAAATAAAAACCCAATATATGGCCCTTTGCCCACACTCGACCACACAAAAATGATTTTCAAAGTTTTTACTGCATCCCTGTTGGTTGACTATAAAATGGCTAGCCATCGGCTTTTACTATTATTGACCCAAAAGTCTTAATAATTCTGGAAAATAAAACATTTTTAGGTAAAAATACAATTATATTATATATAGATGCCATGCCAAGGTTTGGTACATCAGTTATATGAAAAAGACCCGCCGAAATGAAGTATATAAAGTAAAACAAAAAAGTTTTTAACAACCAGCTTGCTCATCATTCTACTATGAATGGAGCACAACAAATTGCCTGGGACTATTAAAATCTTTTTTATTAATACCTTGGTAAAGCTGCTATCTTTCAGAAATAAAGGGTTTGACCTGGGAGAAATAAATACATAAATACAATAAAGGCAATGATTCTAAAACACAGACATAAATAAATAAATATGTGAGAATCTCTTTTCCTAAAATAGACAGGAAATGAAATAAAAATTGCATAAAAGCAGGCATCTAAGTAATACATCTGAAATCAACTTTGTGAGTTACGAATTTAAAGTTTGAAAGCAAATTTCTTTATATAGCAATCCCAGATTTATGAACGGCTTATGTTCTAAATATCTGTAAGCTAGTTGTATTTAAGTTAAGATGCACTTTCTAAAAAAATAGAATCATAAATGATGATTAGTTTTTCAGATGAGTTCATAAAGTTTCTCCAATCAATAATGTATCTGGAACCTAAATACCATATGTAACAACGGGCTTCTCTGGTAAAATAAGTTTAGATTTCATAGCATGCAGAGAAAAATAATTTCTTTCTGATTGCAGTCCTTAAAAAGGGATATTGGATGTAGAATTCCTTTTTCTACAGACCCCTTGCCACATACTCTGCAATCACCTGTCCCTTTTAACCTAGGTTTCTTTACAGCTCAGGACCCCTGTGGAATGAAGTGTAGAGTCACAGCTGCTTCTCTTGACTTCTGACAAGAAATATGGCATCTAGGCTAGTCACTTCAGCTATCTGAGTATCAAGTCTTCATTTTTAAAAATACTACCTTCTTAGGTAGGAGGGTTGTTGTGAAAATCAAGTAAGATAAAGTGTAAATGGCATCTATCATTGTGTCTGGCACACAGTAGCTGCTTCTCATAATTTCATATCCAGGGCAGTCTCACTCTCAAAACTACATCCTTTCCATTTTCAGAGCTGTCTCCATCCTTGTGCAACATATCTAACCAAAATACTTAATTCTTCTTTTCTAACCAAGGGCGGCATTAGGACAAGATGAAACAGGAAGTGAAAAAGCAATTTGACTTTTCACTACTTAAAGATTTTATCTAATTCATTTGTAGTTTCAAATGGGGAACAAAATGGTGTTTAAAAATGACAGCAACAACAAAAACAAAACACAGGCAAGGGAAAGAATCCAGATAACATCTCAGTTCCGTGTGAGTCAATCTTCACAATGTGGTTTCATTGTTTTATAAAAAGCATAAAAATTTCTTGATGACAAAGATATCATTTTAGCTTTTCCTTTCAATTATCAAGAATAATAAAACTGAGTTATAAATTTTTTAAATTCTAGTATTTCCTCTTGATTTTATAGACATATTTAGGAAAACCCACTGTATTAACGTAGATTTATATTAATGAATAAATTTGAGGATGGCTTTTTGCTGTATAAAATTGTTTCCTTTAAATTACAATATTTCTTATTTTTCAAAATATGAATGATTTCCAGGATTTTAGTTTACCCACACTCCTAGGAATATACATACATATTACATAAAGAGTTAGACACATACGTTACTATTTCTTAAAATTTTTTCTGTGGAGGCTACAAGTTCCAAAGTCAACAGTTTTTGGGTGTTATTATTTTAGGCATAGGTCTTCTCACAATCTTTAATATGTTAGTCTGGATTGTGTTTCTCTAAAACAGAGCCATACCAAACAGTTCCCATGCTGATCCACCCATGAGCATTTTATTAAATAAGAATCTAGTACTATCTTACAAAACACTGAAGACAACTGAGGAATCACTGCTAAGTTAATGCTTCCTTTATGAATTGTATTCCTTTCCACAACTTTTCAGATGATCTGGTTGAAAGAATGGACCCTTTCATCATCAATTCCATTATTCACACATCGATAGTATTTTGAGTCTTTAGGTGCTTTAGCAGTCATCATCCCTGACCAGAAAGCATAGCGGAAAGAGCACAGCCTGTCCTGGATTATTTAAAGTCTGGCTCACCCACTTCCTAGCTACATGATCTACCATGTTATTTTCTCTAGGCTGCAATTCACCCATCTGTAAAATGTAAATGACAATAAAATGAGGAACTTGTGAAGGTCACAGAGCTAGCCAGTGGTAGAACTAGAATAGGAGTCCAAGGCTGATGGCTCCACAGTCCAGACTATTAATCACTTCATTGTAACATTTCTTTATAGATATATCTCACAGAT